ATCTGGAAGAAAATGCTTCAGTCTTTTTCCACATTTATGAGATTCGCCTAATCTCCCAAGGAAATTCAATTTGAAACAAATTGGGGTTCTTCTTGAAACACCAACCTGATGACAAACTCAGATGACAAAATCAACATGATATTAGATAATACATTGCACTGATTATAAAGCTTCATTATCACATTTAATACCAATAACGATGATTAAAATATGATATTGAGAAACATAATACAAAAATGAAATCTGATATTTAAATTGATTGGCCTATCTGATGTTTATTCAGTTCAAGTATCAATTCAAATATCAAATAGTGTTTCAAATATTAGAAGAGCTCTGTTATGCAATCTACAATTTGTGAACAGAGAAGTTACGAAAATACCATTTGAAGGTTCTGCCCTGTAAAATGTTAGTACTTCACTTCAATTTGGTAGGTGCATCCGCGTGTGTACCTGCAGTTTTGAAATTGGCCTGCTTTTGCAGAAGTGCCCAAAATTCAAGGGTTACTCAATTTCATTTTTGAAAGACATTATGTAATTATGATAATAGTTAAGTGTATTATCAGAAATTCTTAACCATAATAACGATGAAATGACAATATGCATAGATTCATATTAGATGATTTGAACATATTAACAGATGATTCAAGTTAAAACCTGCAACATAACTATTTGTTTAATTAGAACATGAATCAAAGCTAACTGTTGCAATTCATGTTTGGATATAATATTTATAGGAATTATATTCAATTCAAATGATCTATGAATTTGCAAAAACATAACACAAGATGATAACATTTAATATGTTATTATGCTTATTAAATTAACTAAATAATATTAGGAACTCTATTGATTTACTTGGTAATCATTTGGTTCTCACATGCAAAATAAAACAGGCAACATGGCAAACCACATGGTTTAGATTTTAACCCAGAGCTTAGAATAATATGAACTATATAGAACACAAAAAAGATATATATGTGTATATACAGACACACACACACATATAGGGAAAAAAGAGATGAAGATATACATATTTTTAGCAATCTTTGAAGAAGCTATAAGTTTTGTCCACTTCTTGAGGTCGATCCTTGATTTAGAATCTTATGTAGGCTAGGAGGAAGGGCTATCTCCCAAATTTTAAGCGACAGATATATTATTGATGTCGAACTCATAACCCTACTATAAAAGAACCTTCTAAGAAAGAACAACGATGGGGTAGCTATTCCACTTTGTAGCCAGTTAGTTTGTTCAATTTATCTTTGCTTTAATAAAGCCTCTAAAAGTAAGTTTTGAGGATTGTAGTTCACACTGTAATCTCATATGAGTGAGAGAGAGAGAGAGAGAGAGAGAGAGAGAGAGAGAGAACTTGTTCAATTTATTGGCAAGCTTCAAAGGCTAAATTTGCTGGAGCCCTTCTCCTCTTCAGGACCTTGTTCTGCATCTGAAAATCTTCCTTTGGCCCCTCTTTATTGCCGTTATGTATATTTTTTTCTTACATACAGATATATATAACTGAGATGCAAATCAGAAGGAATGTGGATGTACAAATCACATGAGAATTGAATTGATAAGTGCATAGTAGCCAAAATCCCTAAAAAAATTGGAATATACAAACAAAAAATTCCAAACGGAAAAAACCAAGGAAATTCGAAAAGGAGGATGGTCAGTATATGTGTTTTAGCAATCAATCTATATTTGAAGCAATGAAAAAAAATAGCATATGACATGAGCTATCATAAATTAAAATTATCAACAATCTCCTCTATCTTGCTCAAATAATTTGTATCTAGTAACTTTAGAATACCTGTTCCCATTACGAAACATAGAGAAACTACAAACCATAATAAATACATTGAAATACGCAAATATGCAGCAAATCCCTCAAGCAATTAAGAAAAAAAATGCCTCTTAAATCAACCACCAAATAAATTAACAATTGTCTCCATGAAAGAAGTAAAATGGATAAAAAGATACTTGGTTTCATTCAAAACAATTCCAAGTCCACTGCATTTCGTTCAAAACAGTTCAAATTCCACAACCCCTCGAGCAATTGGGGTTGTAAGTTACGTAATCGGATGGCTGCATCCAAACGAAGAGCTTCAATCAATTAAAGTCAACAGAATATCAATAATTAATCTAAAAAACAAAAAAATAAAAAAAAATAAAAAAAAAATCAAATAAATGAACACTAGGGGTCTGAGGACTGTAAAATCTGAGACCAAAAAAAAAGAAATTTTGGGGATTTTTTTTTTTGGAAGAATGGAAGAGCCCTGGCTTTTCCATCCTTCTTGCCTTCCACGATGAGCAACCCATGTATAGGAGGGGCAAATAAGTAAATCTACTGTTCAACACACGTTAAAAAGCTCAGAATGAGTACCAAATAAAGGGAAAACTCATCAAATCACTGTTAATGATCAGTGTTGGGGAAATTGAGTTTGAGAAGCATTCATGCAAAGGAAATTTGATCACAAATTGAAAAAAAAAAATAAAGGTGAGAGAGAGACGAACCTTCTTGCGGAGGCCAGGGGGTTTGGGTTTTGAGAGAGAGCTGGAGAAATCCATTCTGGAAGCAAATGGAAGAGCCCCTGCTTTTCCATCCTTCTTGCCTTCCACGATGAGCAGCACGTGTATAGGAGGGGCAAATAGGTAAATCTACTGTTCAACACATGTTAAAAAGCTCAGGATGAGTACCAAATAAAGGGAAAACTCGTCAAATCACTGTTAATGAACAGTGTTGGGGAAACTGAGTTTTAGTATATATAATGTGTCGCCTGTAGTTTTGTTTAGGATTTGAAGAAAGGCATGTGCTGCCAGCTTTTGTGATCTGTTTATATTTATTTTAATTTGGTTTCCTCTTTCCCCTTCATTGAGCAGCCACTCAGGGGAAACCTAGTAGTCCTAAAGGGGACTTGGACTCGAGAAATGATGAGCTGGAGGTGGAATTACAAAATCAGGGTAACCAAGATACAAATGGGATAGTGGTTAGTTTGGCAGATGGTACAGATGAGGCTTTTTCAGAAGCAGCTTCAGAGGCAGGGTTTATTAAGGATGAACTAGATGGGGTGTCTTTGGAACTCGATCCTTCTGTCACACTTGAAGAAAATGTATCGGAGAAAGCCGAAGAGCCTGTTGATGAGGAAATTGATTCCAAAAAAGCTGGAGGAAAGAGAAAGAAGCAGTGTCAAGGCAAGTGGAGAGGAGTTGACCCTGTTGTTTTCTTTAAAGATGAAGCTACCATCAATAGCATAAAGACATTCTATGGCATTGATGAATCGTTTCCCTTCAATGACCACCTTGTTACAAGAAACACCGATGCTAATCATGTGAAGAGAATTTACTACATCTCAAAGTCGGTCAAAGATGTTCTTGAGCTGAATTTCTCCGTTGGACAGCAACTTAAGATAACATCCATTGGGCTTAAGATGTTTGTGAGTATTTTAAATATAAATTTGTTTTTTTCGTCTTTTAAAAAAATGCTGTTATATGATTCGAGTTTCTAGATATGTGATCAAAGAAGGTTCTACAAAATTGTCATGCCTATAGATAGGTTGATCACTTTCTAAATCCCATAGCGTAAGTGTGTTTAAAATTAATACAATGAGCGAAACAAGTAGTGCAGTGCCTACTGTTTCGGTGTAGTGGATTCCAAGTTGGTCATACATATGATTTTCATCCTAGGATTCTCATGCTTTGAAGCTAGAGATTCTGGTAAAGCCCGGGACTGATGAACAAAAGTTTTTTCTACATTCTGGAGCTACCTTTAAATATTCCATAACAGTCATTCTCTAATTTATTCTCGCTCTGAACAGGAACGACAGACTGCAAGAGAAGGCAATTTGGCACCTTGTTTATTCCGGATATCATCAGAAGGGTTGCCACTAATTCTTCCATACATCACCAAACAGATTCTATGTGCATCCCTTGTGGACTTTAAGCATCTTCTTGAGTATAAATCTATCAAGTTTGCTGATTTTGTTGATTCTGAGTTTGGTCAGAAGGCATCAGGCATAATGTCAGGATGCTGTGTGATAGTTTTGAGTAAAGGTATATAGCATCATTTGTTCAGGGACCAGAAGTGCAGATTCATTGTATTTTTTTTTTTCTTCTTTTTTTACACCTACGTAAACTTTATATCTGCAGATGGCAAAGCCACGTCGGGTCCTATTGAAGTAGAGGAGTCAACAATAGCCATTGGATGCTGGAAAGGTAGGTCGAGTTTGTCTGTGATGGTCACTGCAATTGACTGCCAAGAACTGCAAGAAAGGCTTTTGGCACGCATTGAAACCGAGAAGGGACCTTTGGGGAAGAAAAACGAGCCTTCTAATGTCAACGGGTATGAGGTACAGGACATGAAGCGATAACTTCATCGGAGGATTAAGCGATAACTTCTGTAATCCCAGAGTTGCATTGTTGTACTCTAATTAGATAATTTAATACAACATTGGATTTTCCTTTTTAACATCGAAATATTTTTCGTATTTCAGGCCGGTTTTTGGCGAATTTTTATTTTTGTCTATGACATTGTTCAACGAGATTAATCATTCTCATTCATTATTTCTTCTTTTCTTGTTTTGGTTGTGTTTTGTGGCAAGTGCTATACTCAGGTCATGGGTCATGCCTTTTAAGTGGTTTTTTGAAGCGTTATCCCGCCAAATAATTGCAGTTGGAAATGCTCTTAACGACATAAGCTACAAATCTGTCAAATGAATGTACTAATCTTGTTAGTGTGTACTAACCTCATTCATTTCTAACGATTTGAATATACAAAACATTGCGGCAACATTTGTAGTAGTGAGTCATAAAAAGGGACATGTGTAGTAGCGAGTCATAAAAAGGGGCTTGGCTGAGTGGTACAAGTTTTATGCAAAATCTATCTGTTGCAAAGATTTATTAGATGCAAGATTTAACCGTTGATTTCCGAACCACTCAATCGCATGTGCAGCATAAACAATATTCCAAAAACTGCATTCAACTATATTTCAAACAGATCAACAACGAGCAGATCCAAATCAGGCTCATCTTTAGTTCTTCATTTCAAATTTTCACATGCAAACTAAAGCAAAGCAATGTGCAAAATATACAACGGAAATATATCACACCCCTCAAAATTTGCTAGTATTAAGAATTTCGAAGAAAGTATTCGATGTTTACAAATCAACCTTCCTGTTGAATCACGACGTACAGCACGCCTTGCTCTTAGCTGGGATTTCTTGTGCAGGGCCTGGGATAAGGATTTTCTTACCAGCCAGAGGTGCAGGGTTCCCGTTACCTTGATTTTCGTTGGCTGCAAGGCTCTTCTTGTTAACGATGTTGAATACCTCTGTCAACACAGTCGAGAAAGCGTTCTCTACATTTGTTGCTTCCAGGGCTGAGGTCTCTAAGAAGAAAAGTCCCTCCTTTTCAGCAAATTCTTTGGCATCTTCAGTGGGGACTGCACGCTGGTTCTCGAGATCACTTTTGTTGCCTATCAGAATGATGACTATGTTCTTGTCCGCATGACTGCGCAGCTCCTCCAGCCAACGTGGTATGTGGTCAAAGGTCTGGCGTTTGGTTATATCATAGACCAGCATTGCCCCAACAGCACCCCTGTAGTATGCACTTGTCACCGCTCTATATCTGCTCAAAACAGAATAAGAGAAGAAATAGACACATCAATTGCCAATACACCAAACTTTTCCATGACGAGAAAGTAAAGGAGTGACAGCCAGAGTAAAGCTTCGAATCCACCTAGTTTACATATCCAACCATGGCTAACTTTTATTTTCTTTGAAAATGATGTACTTTGTTTATTTAAAGGATACCAAAAGCCGAGCCTCATATGAACATATGATGTTTTGACTTGCTCTATTATACATGGTACTTGCTGATAAAGATACCATGAGAAGAATGAGACGCACAAATCATCTTATACAGTTATACGAGGCAAAGTTGACTGGTTTAGTTGTCAACCATCTATACTTCGTAGAGTAAACCTGTCCAAAATCGTGCATCATCATAATGAAGACAATCGTCACCCGAGCAATTATCCATTCCCATCAAAAAATAAATCAACTCTAAAGTCTAATATCTTCCTTTTAATGAAATTAACCTTTAGGCCAAATCTGGAATAAACAGGCAAGAATCGCAAGCCTGGACAAATCATATTGTCATGCCTCTCAAATAGGGGGAATCAAAAGAGTAATTATTCACACCGTTTGACAAAGGGCAACAATTCTTATCACGCTTTATCATCCATGGTATCTCCAAGTTACAAGAAAATGAAACTAACATCAAAACTAGATTATGAACTAAACACGATTTCATATATTTGTAGCCAAAAACCTTATTAATGGTGTCAAGTTTTTACAACTAAGCAACACACCGATCACATAAAGAAACCGATAACTAATTTAATTCTCGGTATTTAACATTTCTAATCATTCGGGTGGATATCCAAATCAATATCACAAGTACGCTATCAGGTTCAAAAGCATGGATCTAAAACTCTCAGATAAATAGAATACTACTAATCTTACCCAAACTTTCTGTACATATTTTTCTCACTGTGATTATCTAATTCATATGTAGCATACAGAGAAGTAATTCACTTACCAACATTAAAAATTTACTTGAAGAAATCATCCCAGAAAGAAGGAAAAGAAAAAACTTCAAAGGATGTAATGCAATCTATGCATACAGCTCACCAAAAAAGCAACTAAGAACTTTTACTAAAACAAGAAAAAGTAAAAAAAGCAGAAAGTTTAGTGAAATCGCTGCAAACTATCAATCCAAAAAACCCAAGTAGCAGATTGAAAGAAAAGGGTTGTATGCTACAGCTGGAGAGAGAGAGAGAGACCGTTCTTGGCCAGCAGTGTCCCAGATCTGAGCCTTGACACTCTTGTGCTCGATGAGGAGGGTCCGAGTCTGAAACTCGACACCGATGGTGGCTTTGGAGTCCAAGCTAAACTCGTTTCGGGCAAACCTGGCCAGAATCTGAGACTTGCCCACCGCAGAGTCTCCTATCAGTACCACCTTGAACACATAGTCTACCTTCTGGCTCGCATCCCCATAACTCGCCATTTCTCTATCCCCTCCCAACTCAACTACTCCAACTCTCCACTCAAATGAGAAGAAAACCCAGATCGCTACTTCTGCTATCAAACCTCCGCAAAGGAAAACACTTGAAACTTACCGAATCCCCAAGACTTCTACTTTTTCTTTTTTTTTTTTTTTTTTGAAAAATGTTAGGATGTCTGTAATGCACTAGTTGCACGACAAAACTAATTTATCAGTTATGATTGTCTTTAAGTTAAGGGTAAATTATTTTACCCCCTCAAATATTAAGTGTAATTGCAATTTCATACAATAATTTTAAAATGTTTCAATCTCATATATTAGTTATTATTTTATTTTAATTTTATACGATCGTCAAAATTTTTTTTAAATTAACTGTTAAGTGATGACATGGTAATGATAAGTTTTACAATTTTGCTGACGTGACATTTGTGCCATGTGGCAAAAAAAAATTAAAAATATATAATTAATAATATATTATTTTTTGTTAAATTTTTGTATAAACATAAATTTTTTTTTTTTTTTAAAAAGCCGAACCCTCCCTAATCCAGCGCCATTCATCCTCTGCCCTCCCCTTTGGTTTCTTTAATCAGTTCTCTTCTCCAATTCGCCAGCCCATGCTGTTCTTCCTCTCCTTCTTGATTTTTTTTTTATTTAGTTTTCTTTTCCAATTGCTCCCAGGGATTCGAAATGCACAAAATGCTAACAAAAATGGCAGCCATCGCCACCTCAATCCAAGAAACCCAAACCCACCATGGAATCAATTCGTTGGTGATGTTCTGGCCAAGGCTAGCGACCTCGGCGAGGATCAGGAGGTAGAGTGGCTATGCAAGGCAACGTAGCGACAGGTGAGGAAGACGAAGAGTGGCGAGGTGGTTGCTAGGGAAGAAGACGAGGTGAGGAAAACCGGTGAGGAAGTAGGCAATGCTGTAATCAAGGACGGAGTTCTGGAATTAGGTGTTGCGGACGACGAATATGGTCAGGGTCGCAGAGAATGGCAAAGTGGATAGGACGAGGGTGGGGTGTCGTGGGCTTGGGTATCGTGGGGGGCATGGGACTAGGTAGGATTTAGGGTTTTCCTTTTTCTTCTTTCTATTTTTTTAAGTTTTTAATTGTAACCGAAGGGGAGAGGATGCAGGAATTGGATCATTTCCTCAGCAGGGGATCAGGATACTCCTCACCCACTAACATGGGTCATTGGATCAATCCAACGATTACAAATAGAAGGCCTTTCTAAAAGTTATAATAATTGTAGTCATTGAATCAAAATCCAATGACCCGTGTTAGTGGGTCAGGAGGATCCTGATCTCCTGCTCAGGAGAGGATTCAATTCCAAGGATGAATGGCCTGGGGAGGGTTTGGTTTTTCCTTTTTTTTTAATAAAAAGTTAACAAAAGAATTGATATTTTATTAAAAAAAATTATTAGTTGTTTTGCCACGTGGCACAAGCTGGCAGTCGCGTCAACAAAATTGTAGAGTTTACTATTACCACATCATCACTTAATAGATTTTTTATCGGTTGTATGGAATTGAAATAAAATGATAACTAATGTATGAGATTAAAATGTTTTGAAAATGTTGTATGAGATTGTTATTGCACCCAAACCTGAGGGTGTAAAATGTAACTTAGCCTTAATTTAAACATTAAAATCGTTAAACCATATCTAAAGGAGATGTTAAATCCCAAGTGGAATGTCATGTAATCAAATTGAAGGTAGAAGCAAGTTTCAACTGATATGTTAATCCTATGTGGATTGGCATATGAGAAAAGATGATGTCAAATAATTTTTTATTATTTTATTGTGTGAGTTCCATTAAATGCACTAATTATAGATTTTGAAAATTAATTTTAATTGATTTCTTTTTAAAATGAGTCCTACAAATATCATTTATAACAAAAAACATATCAGTGGGAAAAAGAGAAAATCGAACATTGCCACGTCAGCCATCAAATTAACATTTGACATTTATTTTTTGACATCTCCATTAGAGATGCTCTTACGCAATCAAATATCTAATGTCAATTTTGGTCACAATATTTACATATATTTAATATAATTAATCTCAAAATTCACATAATAATTAAATTAAATAATATAAATATTGTTGTCAAATTTTAATATATTTTGGTGTATAGATATTGACACACCTCGACCCGGAATGTCCACTTGGACTCCGAATCAAGCTGTGGTGGCCGACACCTAGAAGGTGACAAAGCTATAAAGTGTAGTGTGGTAGAATATGTGAATAAATTTAAACCTAAAGGTGCCTAAATATAAGAGTGCGCTGTGAACGGGAATGAACTCATTTCACACGTGATGTCAAAGCATAAGTACAGTACAATAAGATAGGGTGAGAATTATACATCAAAGGTAATCGTCTACACCAAGATTTACCAAGAATCCTCGTCAATAAGAAAGCTTAGCTACTAAAACCTAGAAGGGCGAAAAACAATGGCGAGTTGGCCTGAAAATAAAGTTTTAATAAAAACCTTTGAAAACGTTATAATCCTTCACCGTAAAACATGTATAATTTCCAAGATATATGTACTACATATAGTATGAAAATACTCACCATAACCTGCAAAATATCAAGATATCAATACGGCACAATAGTTCATATAAGTGCATGACGTCAGTAATCATATACTTTCGCATAAGCAAACATATCAAACCAAGTGCTCATCGACACATGTTGATGCACGAGTTCATGCAGAGTTATTCTGACATGAACATGACTAAGTGTAATAATGATATACGTTTTAGTACTACAATCATGTGAAGACTAGCGCTATTCGCGGTCATATACGAGTCGGAGTTGCTTATTGCAACCTGTACGACAAGACCGGCACCTACTTGGATCCAAGGCGAGTGTGTGGTGTGGATGTGAACATACAAGTGAAAAATTGGTCCTGGCCCTAGGCGAGCACTAATACCGGTGCAGCAAACGATGAGCATAAAACATAAATATAGTCATTCCATAGTGGGTTGATAGTTCTAATCAACATTATATCATTCATAGCTATAGGTATAATCATGGCATCAATAAACATACGCATACATGTGCATCCCGTAGGATTTATGATCACTTCGTAATTTTCCGTTATTTCACTAATTCTTATGAGCATTAATTTAAGCTAGGCATACGTAGTAAATTCTTCTTCAATGTATAAATGGAAACTAACAAATATGTATATACTATATAAAAGAAAAAACCCACTCACCTAAAGTCCGTGTTATAACTCCCTAGCACGAACAATCGTCGTCTAGAACAAATATCAAATCACATCTCAGAATTCTTATCAATAGAACATATAACTTACATAAAACACATCCCCAAGGATGTTCTAGAATGATTTGTAACCCATTGACCAAAAGTTAACTGCTGATCAAAGGTCGACGGTAGGGTCCATAACCCTATGTAACTCGATCGGGAAGATCCGTATCTCGGATTTCGGATCTGTAACTTCCTAAGAGTTTCAATAAGCTTCTAGCACAACATTCTAAAGTTTCGGAACGATCCAACGGTCGGATCTCCGACAATCGCTAAAATTAAGTGGCAGCCAACGTTTAGATTTACAAACTTAGAAAACCCATCCGGGAAGATCCATAGGTCAGATTTCTGATCCGTCGATTCCTAATATCCTTAAATATTATGTACTACTATGTATTAAAGTTTAGTGATGATCCAATGGTCAAATCGTTGAATCATATAATAACCAAGTGGCAGCCCTTAACGGAAGTATAACCCAATAACGAAATTTCGTCAATTGGATGTCTAATATGGAATTGGGGCACCCATTTTAGCCTAGGGAAGTCAAGTGGTGTCTCTACCCATGCGCCGCTCACGTAGCGACCGACAGCCCCGATTACCGAAAATTAAACTATTTCAAAAATTTCTCAAATTTTACAGGAATGAAGATCTCAACGAGGGGAAAAAATTTCATACTTGGTCCAAAATCTAATTCGATCAGGAAGTGGTTTGAGATTACCACGAACCGCCGGAAACCCTATAAAGGGTGTGTTTCGATTTGTCACCTCCAGTGCTCCACTACACCAACCAAGGCTTAGGACTTGTTCCTGGGTTCAAGAAGAGTCAACCTATAGTGGTAGTCGACAAAGTTTGCTTCAGGAATGGCGGATCGCCGCCATGAGACCCTCAACACCACCCACTCGGTTCCTCAAGAAACTGGGGCTATACGCTGTCGAGTTTGGGTGGGAATTGAAAAGGGAAGATCAGTGAGTTTGGTGGTGGTGTTGGATGGCTTCAACACGCCGGAAATCTGATGGAAAAAGTGACGAAAAAGTCGCCAGAAACCGGGTCAAGTGAGGGTCCGGGTTAGGGGTTTCCTATCTTCTCTCCCTTTCCTCCTTTCCTCCTTTCTAATTGGTCACTCTTTTCTTCCCCTTTCCCGATTGATCTCTCCCTCTTCTCTGGTTGCTTTCCCTCTCTCCTGTCGTTCTCCTCCGATTGGGTAGCAGCCCCCTCTTTCCTCTCCTTATCTTTCCATTCACAGCCACACACGTGGCTTCCCATATTTTCTCCAACAATTTTGGAGCCTTCCAAAAAATGATCAATTGACCATTTTGTCCTCGACCTCGGTCGTTAATAACTCCAAATTGTGTTTCGTTTACATTCATGTGTTCGTAACGACAAGTACAACAAAGATACGCCAAGAAAAAAGGTCTTATGTGCCGCGACAAAGTGGTCAACAAAAGTCAACGCATTTGCCTCGAAGGGTATTTTTGAAATTTCACATTTTAAAATTATAAAATTCGTAGTAATTGGGGATGGGTCGTTACAAATATTGCAACCAAGATCTTTCCTTTTCTATTTGCTCAAAAAATTCAAAAAATCAGATCTAAAAACCCATTGACATATCATGCCACGTGCGATGAATAGTACAAAAAATTCATGTTTAAAATCCAGCTGATTTGAATCTTAAGCCTCTTTCAACCAAATCAGTGATAAGCACCTCTTGGCTAATAACTCTAGGATATGACCTTCATGTTTTGACGATGATATGGATGTAAGAGTTAGGGTAAGCGACTCAACTACTTAACAATAATTTGTACCAAATTTAGAATTCAAGAGTTGAACTTAAAATCTAGAACATACAAGTGAAATATGAAAGAAGTATCAATACATCATGGGTGGTGATTTTTACACACTCTATTTCACCTCAAACAACTGTTCAAACCAAATTTGCACATTGCCATATGTAGTGGAAGATGCACAAATCTCTTTACTTGTAATAGAACAAACAACTGTAAGCAACAAAGAACCAGGGGGTGTGCCGGTCAAAGGCTCTACGACGGTCTAGTTAGCAAGCAATATTAGAGGACTCAAGCAGTAGGCAAGAGAATAAGTGTGCGATAATTGCATTACTAGAGATGAACCCTAAAAGGGTGTACTTATACTAGTCGAGATATGATCCTTTTAGGATATGGAACCCATATTAAACCAGAAGAATCCTAGGATTGCTAAGGGCAGTATGTTGACAAGAGAGCCTGTATCAACTAGAGCTCACCAAATAAAGATTGGCCTTCAAAGTATAACAACCTCCAATGGTCTAGGAAAACAACTTTCATACCTTCGTTCATGAAGATAATGACATTGTCATTTTCCAAGAATGCCCTATGTGGTTGGGCGGTGAAGCATTGAGGACCATAGTCCTCGAAAACATTCATTGATGCTTTGGTTATTCTTGCTTTTGGACCATATTTGAGTTGCTCGAAGAGGGATTTAAATTTTTTATTTCTTTGGAGGACTTGTGACGCAGTCAGTCCTTGGTTTTGGGCAAGGTAGCACTCAACTATATTGGACTCGACATTGGAAATGTTGTGCAAGGTTACAACTGCCATCTCCTAACAAGCTTGCTGTCTAAATGAAGTTTATGCGACATATTTTTTGGCATCTTGATGGTGAAGACTTCGTCGCTAAACTTGAGATCCAAGTCTGTGATGTTTTTATCTTTATCTTCACATTCCTTAGCTTGGGCCATAGTGTGTCATAGCTTTAGGGTTTGGAGTACCAGTATGCTTTTTCCATATTCCCAGACAATTCCCAAATATTTTATGGCAACTAGGGATCGTTCTTCCACGGGTGATATGCATCGTCATCATCAGAGCACGTTATCACTGCCACTACTTGCTTCCTTCTATGCCTCGGTACAAGGTCAGTATCAAAGGCTTGTTTTTTTTAAGGTAGCTCTAGTGTTCCTCCGTTAACTTTTGCATGGAGGATCCTTTTTAGAGTTTGACAAGCAACATAATGATGTCCCACGTATTGATGGTAGCTGTAACCTTGCATAATAGTGGTGGATAGGTTTCTCTTTCTTCATCTTTTTCCTTTCTTTTTCACAAATTATAGTCAGGCTTGTCATCAATGGCTAGGGTTGATGAGTCTCATTCTTTTCATTCTTCCAAGACTTTTCAGTAGTTGGTTTGACTAACATTTTACTCTTTTTCACTGCTTCCAAGAGCCTCGAAAACTGGCTCATGCCAATATTCTTGAAATACACCCTATAGTCTGGGACATTGTTGTTAATGCAAATTTCCGTAAGTGCTTCTTCATCTTTTTTATTGTAGCAGTCAAAGGCAAGATCCTGGACGCAAAGGACAAAACTTACAGGGGTTTCCTCATGTTTTTGGCATGTGTTGTTGAGTTAGGTTGTAGTAGCCCTATCTTCATGTTGGAAATATTTCTTGCAAAACTTGCTTGCCAATTCTTCCCAGGACCAAATAGAACTTAATGCAACCTCTTGTACGAAGTATAAGTACGATCAGTAAGGCTCTTTGAAAAATCTCTAAGACGGAGGTTATAATCGCCGACATGAGGACCCAAAGTATCGATGAAGCAACTTATGTGCTTATTTGGGCTACCTTTCCTTCCGTCAAAGAGAACAAAATTAGGAGTTTCATAGTTTTAGGATATGGCATGTGGAGGAGATTGATTGGATATGGCAGTTGAGGAACATACTTCTAGTCTTCAAAGCTCATGTATAACTCATTTTCCAACTTGGCAATGATATCTTCCTAGGTGACGAAGGATGGTCCATTCCTACTCTCAGAACTTTTTCCGACAACAACGGCTGATTCCTTCTTAAGGGTCTTTTCCTTATGTGTGCAGTCTTTTTCGCTAATCTTCTCTCTTAGTTTTGGGATTGAACTATTCAGTTCCTTTACTGACATGACGATCTCCTTTTGGGCTTCTCCCATAGCATGGATGGCAATAATGATGTATGGCATGACATATTTTTCCAGATTCTCTTGGCTTTCTTGCCATTTCTCCTTACACTGAGATTCATTCAACCTAAAAGTAGCCTCGCTTGCTTTCTATGAGGCATTGCCACTCCTGATGGTATTTCTTCTGGATCCTGGGGCCAATCAGAGTTGTGACATGGTCCCTAATTTATGTTTGGGGACCCTTTGATTGAGTTGGATTTGGGCCACGGGAAAACTCTCAATTTACTTAATTTATTTCCGGCACTAAGTCCTAAAATCGAAAGCATTAGAGGGAATTAAGAAGCATTCCAGTTGAATCAATGACTCCAATTTAACTGATTTAGCATGAGAGAGAGATAGAGAGAGCTTGTGCTTGCATGTATAGTTTATGAATGGTTTATCTAGGGTTTTCCTAGTATTTTTATAGTTTCACAGTGCTTAGGAAAACTTACACTATGTTTGGATGAGGAAAATAAACTCGAGATTTGAGTAAAAGTTAGAATTTACAAAATTGATATGCACCAATTCCCTTGTTTAGATTCATAAACATAGAAATTTAGAATTTCCGCGTAGGAAAAAAAACTTGGAATTTGGGACCTCTAATTCCCAAGTTTAAATTTCATGTAAATAGGCGTTATTTCCCAATTTTTATGATTGAGAGTTCAAGAATAACAAACTCCATATTCAATTCCTTTGTTCTTTTAGATTAACCAAACAAGAAAATTTACAAATTCTAGAAATTAAAATCCTGTCATTTTCAAATTCCTTAATAATCTTAAATTTCTTCATCCAAACATAATGTTAAGGAAATCCTCAGTGTGTAAGGAAAGTTTCTTCCTCAAGAACTAGCGTTTCCTCCACTTAGAGAAAGCTTGCTCTGCTTCATTATATCTTGCCTTAGTTCACTCTTTCTTCCTTATCCCTTGCTCTTTCCATCATGTTCTCTAATTTATAAGTGCAAGGATTCTTTCAAGTTCCAGCTAAGGAATTTATGGGTTTTCTTTGTCTTTCCTATTTTTCTAAAGTCTTCTCTTCTTCTTTCCATGGTTGTAGCTAGAGAGTCATTCTTAGGTCTAACATTGAAGAGGGTTACTAGCCTCATGAAGCTTGGGTTCAGCACACTGCCCATAGCGTCTTCTCTAGCACCATGTTCCACATACTCCATCTTTTGGTCAAGCTCCCCTTTATTATTCCCATCGTTCCTATATAATCTTGGAAGGGCAAGGTTCCTTCTCTCTCTATTAATGAGGAGCGCAACTCTAGGTTAAAAGTGATCTTGTTATGGTTCAGGCATCTCAGCTTTGTGCTTTGGTTACTTCCTAAGTGTCCTATTTGGTTTGGAAGGGAAAATGAAGCTGGTTCTTTTCTCTCTCAAGTCTTTCGACGTGAAACCAAAAATCATGGGTTCAGACTTCTAGTGCTTCCAAGCAGCCCAAGGTCTTCCACAACCCTAGTTCCACGTTGGCCTAGTAAACTTTTGTAATCGTCCACACTACGATCCACTTAGCAAGTCACATTATGTGGCTTGAACTTACTTTAACATGTAGCATGATTTATTTACAATGTTAATGTTGTAAAATGGCTTGACATGATAATATGCATGAATTGTATGGGTTGGCAAAATTATACAAACATCCAATTTATATTTATTTTATTGAGTGGCATAATCGTAAATCCACATACCTCTTATTTTTGCACTTTTGCATGAATTTAAGCTTGGCTTGTGATGCAGTTACAATAATTGGGCTTGTATGTGAGATTTTTGAACCTTAACATATGACTTTTATTTTTAAAATGGTTGTTTGTTAATAATTTTGTTTACAAATTTTAGTTTTTATTAATGATGTTTGGTAACTTATTTCAATTTTTAATTTTCAAAAAAAATTGAAAAGTGAAAGTCAAAATGTGATAATCACTCTATTGAGTTTCCAAATTTTAGTTGTAAATCTTTATCTTTTGGTTTTCAATTTTTCATCCTTTTGAAAACTGAAAGTTGAAAGTATTAAATGATTTTTTAGTTTTCAAAAGCTAATTAAAATAGTTATCAAAAGACTATTGATTTTTTAAGGTTTTTTAACTAAATGGTCTTTGAGATTTACATAACTCCTCACTTTGATCCTTAAGTTTGTCCACAATCAATCATTTTGGTCATTCCATGAAAAATCTCCATTAAATAAGAATACAATGACCAAAATACCCTTTATTTTTTTAAATCATATTGGCCATAATTTATTAAATTGTGGGTATATTTATTATTTTGATCCTTATTTAACATAATTTTGCACAGAATGACCAAAATAGTTGATGATGAACAATCTCAAGATCACTTCTATTGATTTCAAATTTCAGGGATCAAAGTGATATATTATGTAAATCTCAAGAACCATTTTAGCTAAAAAACCATTTTTAATTTTGCGTTTCAGACATAAAATTCCAAAAGAAGAAAAGATTTTATATTTATGTGCTAGGGAACGACGCCGTATTAATGGTGTAGCCTCCAAATATAATCCAACGGCAAATACGAGTGAGAGACGAACGTGTATACCTATCTTGGAAATCAGAGGTCGCAGAGAGGTAGCGCAATGGAGGAAGAGGAGCATGAGGTGTACGGAGCAGAGATCCCAGACGAAGGAGAAATGGACGGCGACTTGGATGCTCTCCATGCCGACGTCGACATGTCCACCGCCGACGACGACGCCGTAAAGGTACTAATAAAAAACCCTAGAAAACTCAATTTGTTTCAGCAACCAAATCATAAAAAACAATTGTCAAAATTATTTGGGTGTATATTGACTTTGGATTATAGGAGCTGGATGAGATGAAGAAGCGGTTGAAGGAGATGGAGGAGGAAGCTGCTGCTCTTCGCGAGATGCAGGCCAAGGTTGAAAAGGAAATGGGAGCTGTTCAAGGTCCCCCCTCTCTCTTCTGAAAAAGTAATTGAGTTTTGGTTCTTGATTCCTGCGGTTCCTGAAAAAGTAGTGTGTGTGTGTATTTATATATATATATATATATATATATGTATGTATATTGTAGAATGCTGTATTTGGCCATGTTCTATTGAATGGTTATTGAAAAGCTGTAGCGCATGACATGAAATTTGAAAAAACAGACCACAAGTTATGCGCTAAGTTAAGTGTCTTTGGAAGTGTTATGTTGATAAATTACACTCTTATTGTCCTGTGGACTTTAACATTTTACGTTTGTTTTTTTCGTCTGATGTGCAAGGAATTTTGGTTCAATTTCTTCTGAGTAACACGCTCATTTACCTTGTTTTGTTATTGTTTCCACATAGATCCTGCAATTGCTGCTGCTTCTCAAGCAAACAAGGAAGAGGTGGACGCACGATCTGTTTTTGTTGGCAATGTGAGTACCAGAATGTTGAAATCTCTTATTCTTTCCAAACTGTTTGCATTGTGTGTGTTAAGCTTAAACATGTCCAGTCCTAATGGTCATGTTTCCCTGCTTTCTGCATTTTTTGATGTATGTCGACAGTCCACTCATAATCCTGACACTCGGCTGTGTATAAAGAAATCCTCTAGTTTGTCATGTGATCTTTGTGTGAAGTTGCATAGTGTGAGTAAACATGTGGTTTTGGCAAGTCCACTACTAGATTTAGATACCAATTTAGTTTTTCAGTATCAAATAGAAGAGGATAGTTTTATGATTTGACCACATATTTTGATATCTCTATCTAGTGGAAGTAATATTGATAGGCCGTTGATATCTACATTTTTGTTTAACCTTTGTATGGTATTGTTAATATTTATTGAACTGCAGTCATTGAATTAAACTAGGGAGTTGCTAATTGCAGTCCAAAATGGCATCATGCCTCTCTAGTGTAAAGAAGTCAAGAAGGGAGGAGTGCAGGATGACTATTTTCTAGTGCTAATGATGATTCCGTAGATTATTCACTTGTTAAGTAGATGATTATGGGACTTGCAATAGCAGGAACGCTTGCCTGATTTTATTAGTCACCTCCAGATATGAAGGGATCTGAAGGAACTTGTTACTTAAAGACAATGCTTGGCTTTTAGTATAAAATAACTTTTATATCAGTTAGAATATGAAAATGTTTTGTGTTGGGGACTCATACATCACTGTACAATCTAAAGGTACCCTCACATTACAGGCTATCTAGAATTTGGAAATACAGCTGTAATGTCATATGAAGATTAAGTCAGAAGATTTTTAAACTTTCTAGATGTGTAATTCTAGAATCTACATATCAATGTGTGCCCAAGAAAATAACAAAACCCACTAGCTAACATTCTGTATGAACTTGTGGTTTATACATTAGTTGATCAACATGCCATGGTTTGACATTATTTATGCACCTCTTTATATTTACCTTGTCTTCAATGAAAGCATGCTTATTTTCCCACGAGATAAATGGTTTTAAAAAGAAAAAAAAGCTTTGCACCAATGTATGAAGGATGTGATGAGAAATTGAGAGAGAATAGAGTTGTAAAAGAGAAGAAAGACAGAAGGAGAAAGAAGGGCAAGTAGGGTGAACTCAATTCTTTTTTATTTTCGGTCACAAGGGTAAATTCAATTCTTCATTATCAAATCAATGGGCCAAAAACGTATACAAATTACAAAGTAGTTGGAAAACCTGGAATAACAAGGATAATAAACTACTGTAATAGCTTAATTATTACACTCATACCTGCTATTGCTTCGGATGCAAAATGTTTTATTTCTTAAATAGGTTCTTTTTCTAAATTATTAGTTGTCTTGGCTTTACCACTTCTGCGTCACTAAGATTTCACTTCAAAACATCAGATATCGCTGTCTTTGTTGTTTTATATTACAACCCGTAATCATATACCATGATGGTAGTACAATTTCACTTCAAAACACCTGATATTGCTCTGTCCTACTATGTTTCTATTTTACTTTTATGTGGATGCGGATGATACGCAACTTCAGAGTCATGGTTTGACTTTGTGTAGTACTATGATCGCAGGGTCAGTTATTCATCAAGTTCTGTGTATATGAGCTGGACATGTTACACTGTAGTTTGAGGGTGGGGCATAGTATTCTGATGTATAATTAGGCTGTCATTAAAGGGGAGAAATTTGCATGTTGAATAAAAAAAGAGAAGAAAAAAGAAATGTCAAATAAAAAAGAAATAAAGAACAAGTTTCAAAAATGTGAAAAAAAGCATGAAAAGAAAAAAAAAAAAAAAAAAAAAAAGAATAAGAAAGAATTGGAAAAAAGAAATGTAATTTTGGAAATTACAACAGTTAGGTGTAGGTGGTATGATGTATTAAGGAGGAAAGAAGGGATGCAGTTTGCTGAAGATATTCCAAGTGAATGGTGGGGCACGCGTTAGGATGTGAATTAAGATGCTGGATCTTCAGTACACAAGAGGGCAGCAACTTCTGTTTTCAAGAGCAAAGGAAAGCCGGGTATTCAATTTTAGTTGCAGAGCTTCTCTGCTGCTGGAATGGTGTTGGTTGGTGGCTCAGAAATATGTGCTTATGTACTTATGTGGTGAGGGGTACATGATTCTGCTTCCCTATATTGATTAAGATTGATTTTCTTATCTGTCGACTGCGTTCACCCAAATTAAAAAAAAAAAAAATGACTATATACTGAATCACTGATTGAGTGTGATTTCTTCTACTTGTAATATTTTTATAAATTCTGTTCACCTTAGAAACATTTCCTTCCTTCTGTGCACGCACCCATGGTCCTATATTATAATTTTAGTGGAGGCTGTTACAGATAACAGCTTTCTGTGTTACATTGATAAGTCTTACCCATGACTTTTCTTTGTCTTGTGCAAAATTTTGTTGGAAGTAGTAATTGAAATAATACCGGGAGTGTAGGATGGAGACAGCTCCATCTTCTCAAGTTCTCTGATACTTACAGGGACCAATCAAACATTCATTGGAATGTTGGGATATCTCATTGGACCAAATTTAAAAATTGGTTCCAGTATTTGATAGTATGTGTAAAAATGTGACAAGGGATTGAATGGGATAAGCAGGTTTGCTCAGGCCTTAAAGGGATCAATATGAAGTTTGATTTTACATCAATAGTAGATTGCTCGTGATGTGATTTGGTTTTTACAATCCGAATTGGCAAAGTTGGATTTATTGCCAAGTCTAGTTTACTGAAGAGAAGGTGATGTTGCATCAGTAGTAAGTTGCTCATGATATGATGGGTTTAAAAAACTGGATAAATCATGTTTTGCAGGTGGATTACGCATGCACACCTGAAGAAGTACAGCAGCATTTCCAATCATGTGGTACGGTTAATAGAGTGACTATACTGACAGATAAGTTTGGCCAACCGAAGGGTTTCGCTTATGTGGAATTCGTTGAAACTGAATCTGTTCAAGAGGCTCTCGGCCTAAACGAATCTGAGTTGCACGGCCGGCAATTGAAGGTAACTCATTCAAAAGCTGGGTCTGGATGTTCTTATCCATTATTTTTGCTGTCGCGTTTGTTCATTTTCATCTTAAATATGTGTATAGGTTTTGCCTAAAAGGACGAATGTTCCTGGTATGAAGCAATACAGACCTAGACGCTTCAATCCTTATATGGGTTACCGCTTCAGGAGGCCATATGTACCTCCTTACTTTTACTCGCCCTATGGATATGGGTATGTTCCTTCCAGTGCTCTCAATTCTCTATTTATTAGGCAAAATGAGATGCCAGATGCCTGATTTATCTTGCTTTCTTTTTCCTTTCATTCATCTGCAGAAAGGTTCCGAGGTTCAGAAGGCCAGCTCGATACATGCCGTATTACTGAAAGATTGGTTGCATAATCAAATACAAGGCCTGTCATTTCATATTTACAGTTGATTTTTAGTTTTAATCTGGTAGTTGTATCGATTTGCCGTTACTGCTAAGTACACTATGAACTGGATGAATAGCCACCTACCTATATTGCTGTTGAAGTAGCTAATAAAAGTTTCATATTGGCCAAGCAGTGCGTAGTTTCGTTTCTGTTGTTTGGTTTATAAAAAAATTTCCTTCCATCCATGCAAGCAACATTTTTGGTATGCCTCTAAAATTGTGTTTTCAAGGGTCGAGCATCATTAGAGATGTACTAGGCTCAGTCGTTCACGTGCATACTGGAGGGTAACTAAGCCGTTGATGCATATTGACCCATCTGTGGCTCTCAGTCATTGACGTGCGTGTGGGCGATTGAACCTAGCACTCATCGGCATTTTGGTGAGAGCATTTAGTTGTGAGCTCGTAGTGCATCTGTGTTTGAGTATGTGGGACTCGCATGTCACTTTTAAAGGCCCCTGGTATGACTTTGTGGTGTGTACGTCCGTGTTTGTGTGTTATTTCAAACCACACACTACCTGCTTCTTCACTCCAGCTTTCCTTTCCCTCTTTAGGTGTGGGGCCCTGCCTAAACTCGTAACCTATTTTTTGTCATTCCTTTTATGTGTGGTTGTTGTATCCTGTCAAAAAGCACCCGGAAAACTAGGAAGGAAATGAGGTTAGCTTGTTGGTTGGACCGAATCTTAAATCAAAGATATTTTTTCAGTAATCGTTATGGACACTTTAAATTTTTCATTTTATATTTTTTGTAAGTGTATTTTAAAGTATAAAAAATAATTTGCTTCTTTTATTCTGTTCATTTCGGATAAAAATTTCACCTTTAGTCTATGTAGTTCTGATTGTGAGAATTCACGGATGTGTCGCACTTTTGCATACGTAGAGGGCCATTTTAGTCTATAAGCATCTGCAGTTGTATAGATAATTGAGTACGAAAATAAAATTTAACGAGCTGTTGTATAACAGTGGATGTCCACTCAAATTATTAAATAATGGGCAAGTTGCCCTTCCACTATCTACCGAAGCTTGTTTCATACGACTCATGCTTTTTATATAAATACAACACGCCACACAACACAAATGAAATGAGGCAGAAGACACAAGGCTCACAGAAGAGGAAGAGAGAAAAGAGAAGAAGAGGAAGAGGAGTGGGGATAATAGAGAGTTATTTTGTACTCTTATTATTATAAATTATAATGGAAGCACCACTGCTACTCCGAGGACATACTCCAGTCATACTGACTGTAGAGGAACATTGTAAATTTTGTATCTTGTTTCTTTTATTCCACTGCACACATCATCGATTTTACAGCACGTTATTAGCACGAGAAGCTCTCATGTCAGTGGAAAGGATAACGCCATAAATTCGGACAAACAAAGGTACAACAAAACAAGCAAAGGTATGTCCATTTTCTCGTCTCTTCCACCATGCCAGAAGTGCCCCACTGAATTCCAGTGAGAATTGAAATTTACAACGACTTGTAGTCGTCACGAGATAAGAAAACTCGTACTTGACAACTGGTTTTTAGAGATCTAGAAGAATCTCATCAGACTTGGAAACCCGGATCACGTCATTTTCAACGGATCTCGAGAACTTCTATGAATACTCGGTTGTCTGAGATGGTGATGGTAGGACTGACTCTACATAGGCCTCCCTCTCTTGTACCTCCATCAACCCCGATGTCATTTATGTTCCTATATGGAAGTTCTTGCTTCACGATGCCATGTTCTCTGGACCATGCAAGGAAAATTGAAGAAAACACGAGGATGGGAAATGGTATTCCTTATCTGGCCTCTCCCATGGAAAAAGTAACAGTCTGTGGGTTTTTGCAAAAAGAAAAAGGGGCAAAAGCAAAGGAATGATGCATCAGCACATTTTGAAAAAGCATAAGACAAAATATTAAAATAAAAGGAAAAATGATGGTGCATCAAACACCATGTGGAAACCAAGAAAAAAAAACAAAGGTTTTTTGGATTGTTGCACCATGTGAATGAATAAGAAAAAATAATAATAATAAAAAAGAGGGTAAAGGTTTTTGGATGGTGTTACACCATCTGAAAAGAAAGAAGGAAAATATATATTTATTTATGTGAATGGTGTTGGCTTCAAATCCTTTCATAAGTTCTATTTACTTTAAAGCAATTTATTTACCATGGACGCTTTTACCGCCTACTGCTTTAAGTTTTGATTTATGTGAATGGTGCTGAATTAAAGCCCTTGTCACAAGATTTATTTACTTAAATGCAATTTATATGAATGCTAGCTAGAAGGTTTTTCTCCACACATGTTACACTTGCATACAAGATGATTTTCGGTTGGTCTTTCGATGAAGTATGAAACTCAACACCCCGGGTTAATTAGGTCCGCTTAAATTAACCGTCAAGTTTTCCTTAAGTTAATGAATTGGATGATTGCATGCGACAACCCAAAGCATTCCCCACAAGTTCCCTACATGAATTGCATAATAGAGATACAAGCAAGAATCATTAAGCATCATGAAAACTATAAGTGTTGACGAGGCATTCGTTATTATGAATTGCATGAAACTTATGCCAAGAATTTACTTAACGCGATTGTTTATAAGCAACCTCCACTACTTGTGAATATAAGTTCATAACTATTAGGTGAAACTCACTTACATTCTAGCGTCATATTCATGCATGAAAATTAAGCGTGCACTCTCAATAAACATACATAAATAGGTTATCAATCAAACAGTTAAACAAATTGAATCCACAACTCATGAAATTCCAACCAAAGGTAATCAATTCATATTGCAAGCGTAAACATGGTTTCGAATCACCCCCTAGCTAATGGGGGGTTTAGTTCCTCATATGTACAAAACAAAGATAAGTAAATTTAACCATTGAAATCAAGGAAAAGAAACACCTAAAAATTCCAACAACTCAAACTTGAATTGTATGAATGTTTAGGCCCTTCTCCTCCTCTTTGTTGCGGTACAAGGTCTAAGGATAGGTTTTGGGGTGGTATTTGTATGGAGGAATGGTTGTGTGATGGTAGGGGAGTGGTTGAAATGGAAGGGTAGATGCTGGAAATGAAGGGGAGGTGCTGGAATGTGGAATGGTGTGCACGGCTTTTATGTTTTCAGGATGTGTTTGTGTTGTGGTAATGGGAATTTCTGTGGTGAATGGAGGTGTAGAATTGTGTGTGTATGGGAATTAAAGATAGGGTGAATGATGATGAATGCATGTGGATTAAAGAGGGAATATGGAAGAGAATGTGTTGCAATGATGAAGTGGGAAGCTGGAAATGCAAATGGGATGCACGGCAAGGGCTTGTGGATGCTGAAATGGATGGTTTTGCTGGTTCTAAGGCTTTGTTTGATTGGGCTAGGCCCTTTGTTTTATGTCCTAAAGTGCATACAAGGCTTCAATTTCGTCCAACACTTTGGCTCCAAGCATAAGCTATCCATTCTAAGCCCAATTTTGCTCCAAAATGCTCCAAAATGCACCTTTTTGCTTCCTTAGCCATATGAACCTAGAAACACACGAAAATGGCATAAAGGACTAAAATAACTAAAGAAACACAACGTAAATGCATGAGAACAAGCCAATTAAGTCGCATAAATATGCTCCTATCAAATTCCCCCACACTTAGCTTTTGCTAGTCCTCGAGCAAAACAGAAAAACAAAACAAAACTTAAACCTTCCAACAATGGTCTCAGGGATTTTCAATGCACATGACATGTTAAAAATTCATTATCTCCACAGATTTTAGTCATCTTCACACTTAAGTACATTCTTAATCATAGTCACCACATACTAGTTCACAATTAAGCATTTAAAACAACGTTTGAATGTAGTAACATGCCTTAGAGAAATCACTTAATTCCTTACAAGATACTCTCTTATTTTCACACAGACTTTCTGATTACACACCCTACACTAAGTATATGTGAGACGATTGATGTAAATATGAAACTAAACACTCACATATGTGTATCACAAAGAAAGCAATTTCTGGAGTTAATAAGCATGTTTATATATGATCTCATGAATGGAATGCTACTACTTAGACGCGAGAACCAGTGACACCATATGCTCATACCAAATTTAAACTCTACAAATTGAAATGCACAACACTCAAGATAGAAGTCAAGGGTTGTAATGGGGCTTGGGGTGTTTGGCTAACAAAGAAGGGATATGGAAAACAAAGGTTCTTTAAAGAAATAGTGAGCAAAGCATGCGAATCAACTTAGAATTCACTTTTGAATGAAAACTCAAATTTTGAACAAAAAGGGAAAATTTAGACAATTTAGGACCATATTTGGTGTTTTGGACCCCTTCTTCAACATTCAACACTTAATCACTCATTCTTACATCTTTTCAAGTTTTTTTTTTTTTTCTTTTCTTTTGAATCTCAAAACATACATATAAACTTAAGAACAAACATTCCTTCCCCCACACTCATTTTTTTTTCTTTTTTCTTTTCTTTTCTTTTGAATCTCAAAACATACATATAAACTTAAGAACAAACATTTCTTCCCCCACACTCATTTTCTTGCATAATGTAACTCAAAAGGAATTCATTTAAGTCATGCTCACTATCTTTTAAGAACAAGGGTGTGGACTGTCCTCAACTAGGCTAGGTGAGGATAATGTGGGTTATCAAGGAATAAAGGCTTAACAAGGCTCAACGGGGTTAACTTAAACAAATAATGAAGTAGGATACACGGCAATTTGGTTTTGGTGGTGGTCACTACACAACTTCTTCTTGAATATGTATTATGCAAATTAATAACATGCTTTGAATGAAATGGGCATGAGTTCTAGCATTTGGAACTATATGATGAAACGCCTTCTAAGTAGTAACCAAGCAAAGAATAATGAGATCATGCAACGACTTTAGAAAACAATAATGCACAAATTTGAACTCTCCAAATAAACGTTTAGGCTCAAGTCTCACAAGGTTGTAGCGTTTGTTTGAGTTCCTTCCTTCAAGCATGTTACAAAAACTAATTTTTCTTTTAGGATTGCATGTGAAGTCATACATTATAACTGATGCGAAAATTACTTGACACTCAAATTAAACCCTCGTTTGACAATTGTAGTAGAATGGATAAGTGAGGGATCGTTCTAGACCGGGGATTAGGAGGGCTTGCTAAAACCTTCTAA